ACGAATGGAAGACCACCTTTCGGACCCGTTACGGCTCTTACGAATGGAAGGTCATGCCGTTTGGCCTTACGAACGCCCCTGCGGCTTTCCAGCGGTTTGTTAATAACATCTTCTCTGACATGCTCGATGTTTGTGTCATCGTCTATCTTGACGATATTCTAATCTACTCTGATACGCCAGAAGAACACCGAGAACACGTTAAGGAAGTCCTTCGGCAGTTATGGAAACATCGGCTTTACGCCAACCCCGAGAAGTGCGAATTCAATATGGATACTGTTGAGTATTTGGGTTATATTCTTTCTCCTGACGGATTGACTATGTCCAAGGAGAAAGTTCAGACAGTTCTAGAGTGGCCGGTCCCGAGGAAGGTTAAGGACATTCAGTCCTTCTTGGGTTTTGCAAATTTCTATCGTCGTTTTATCTATAATTATAGCGATATCGTTGTGCCGATGACTCGGCTTACCCGAAAAGGCGCTCCCTGGATCTGGGACAGCAGCTGTCAAGAGGCCTTCGAAAACCTCAAAATCACTTTTACTTCTGCGCCGATACTGGCCCATTGGGAGCCGAATCGCCCACTTATCGTGGAGACCGACGCTTCCGACTACGCCATTGCGGCCATTCTTTCCATCCAATATGCTGACGGTGAAATTCATCCTCTAGCCTTCCTTTCCAGAACGCTTCATGCAGCGGAACTCAATTACGATACTCACGACAAAGAGCTACTGGCCATCTTCGAGGCCTTTAAAGCTTGGCGTCATTATCTGGAAGGCTCGGGTGATCCGGTGGACGTCGTCACCGATCACAAAAATCTTGAGTATTTTTCTACTACCAAGGTTCTCACCCGCCGACAGGTCCGATGGTCAGAATTTTTGCATCAATTCAATATGGTCATTCGCTTCCGGCCGGGGAAACTCGGCGAGAAACCCGACTCGATAACTAGACGCTGGGACGTCTACCCTAAAGAGGGGGATATCGGTTACGCCCAAGTGAACCCTCACAACTTCCGTCCTATCTTTACTAACGAACAACTCACTGCGTCTCTTCGAGCTACCTTCTTGGAAGGCCCGGTTTTACGAGCCTCGATTATCATGGATATCGAAGCCCTACACCAGGCTATCATCCTCGCCCTTCCCGCCGACCCGAGCTTCGTTGTTGGCTTGGAACTTGCAAAAGATCCTTCCAATGAACGTTGGAGCTTAGGTAGTGACAAGCTACTATGCCTTGACGACCGTATTTATGTTCCTAATCACGGCGATCTTCGCCTTCAAGTTCTCCGCTACTTTCATGATCATCCACTCTCCGGCCATTTCGGCCAGAACCGCACTCTAGAAGCTGTACATCGTCAATACACCTGGCCCAAGGTCAGAGACTTCATCCGTGACTATGTCACCTCTTGCACTGTTTGTGGTCGCAACAAACCTCGCCGTCATCGGCCTTACGGTTTGTTGAAGCCTCTGCCAGTTCCGGTCCGACCATGGGATTCCATCTCCATGGACTTCATTGAGCAACTGCCAATGTCGAATGGTTATACAGCCATCCTCGTCGTTGTGGATCGATCTTCCAAGCAAGCTATTTTCATCCCTACTTTCGACACCATTACGTCCGAACAATTAGCTGAGCTTTTTGTTATTCACGTCTTCTCTAAACATGGTGTTCCTAATCATGTCACTTCTGATCGTGGTTCCGAATTTGTTTCGGCGTTCTTCCGGGCTCTCGGGAAAGCGCTCTCCATGGAACTTCATTATACCTCTGGATATCATCCGGAAGCCGATGGGCAGACCGAGCGTGTCAATCAGACTCTCGAACAGTACATCAGGATCTATTGTTCCTACCAACAAGATGACTGGTCGCCGCTACTTCTGATCGCCGAGTTCGCCTATAACAACGCTCCCAACGCTTCCACAGGTATTACTCCATTCTTCGCTAACAAAGGATACCGCCCAAATATCACCGTTCGGCCCGAGGTCAACATGAAGTCTGATCTTGCTAGAGACTTCGTCGTCAACCTTGATGAACTCCACGCTTTCCTTCGAGAGGAAATTCTGTTAGCTCAGTCTCGTTACAAGGAACAAGCTGACAGGAAAAGAATCTCGCACCCGGAGTTCCCGATCGGCTCTGAAGTATTTGTTCTTGCTAAGCATATTCGCTCTACTTGTCCTACTGAAAAATTCTCTGAAAAATATCTTGGTCCTTTCAAGGTCGTCAGTCGACCTGGTACTTTGTCTTATGAACTCAAGCTCCCGGACTACCTTCGCCAAATTCACCCGGTTTTCCATGTCTCACAGCTGGAGCCGGTTACGCCGAACCCTTTCCCGAATCGAACTCAATCTCCTCCACCTCCAATTGAAATTGATGGTGAAGAGGAGTACAACGTTGCCGAAATCCTTGACTCCAAGCTGGACAGAAGGTACAAACGTTGTCCTCTACGTTATTACATTCGGTGGGCCGGTTACGAAGGTACCGACGATGAGTTTTCTTGGGTTGCTGCTGATGAACTACATGCTGACGAACTTGTACCGGCATTCCACGCCCGATACCCTCACAAGCCTGGACCTTGATCACACAAAAAACATTTATTCCTTTCCTCCGTTTTTTCGCCATGCTCCGCCGAAGTTTACTTCGTGTGTTTAGAGGGTAAACACGATGATAGCAAATTGAGTGTTTACCTCTCCTTCTTAAATTGCTTACTTTGTTTCTTAGTTACTATTTTACTTATTCTTCAATCACACTTAAGCTACTTATACTTCAAAACTAATTACTTCTTACGCCGCTTGCGGCCCATTCGCTCTCCGATTTCAAAATTGCGTTGAACATTTTTTTTTATATACAAAGTTCAAAAAAAAATATACAGAAGAGGCAGGACTACAAGAAGACAACAAGAAGACTACAAGAAATACAAGAACATGGCCGGAGGGCCGAGGTCCGATGTCCGATGACCGTAGTTACACTACTCTACGGCCCTCTCCTTCCCCTTCTCCGACTGCGCCTTCGCCGGCGCCGGTTCCTCCTCTACTACCTCCTCCGCCTCTCCTTCCCCATCTTCCTCCATCTCTTGCTCCTCTTCCTCGTCACTGTCCATGACCCTTCTCCGTTTCCTCGACAATCCCGACGGTCCGGCTTCCGGTAATTCAGGGGGTGTCCTCCTCCTCCTCGCGGCGTCCGTTATCAGCCAGTCCAGCTTGCGGTTGAAGTGTCGATGGTAGGTATTTGCCTTTACCTGACCATCTCGAAGTTGTCGATTATCGGCGAGGAGCTGGGCTACTTGACTTTCAAGGACCGCCAGGCGCTCGCCGGTCGGATTGGATCCTCCCTCTCGCTTGACTGTGAAGGGCCGGTTGGAGTACGAACACCGTACCTTGGCGTCGTGGCAGGGTTTGCAAATTATTGAACTCCTCTTGCCAGCCTGCATCTGGCAAGGGATTTTCTTGTTCCTGCATCGTTCGCAGGGCGTCCTTTCGTTTTCTTCGTCATCGTCGTCTCCGCCGTCTCCGCCGTCGTCGGGATCCTCATCCACGGGCTGGAACTCAGAACGTTAGTAAAGGCAGGAAGCACCAGGACATTGTTACTCACCTGGGCCTTGGACTTCCCTTTCCCTTTGCTCTTCTCCCTCCGGATCTCCACAACGGGCCTCCGAGGGGACCCCGAAGTCTCTTCTGGCGAAGATCCTCGCCGACTGCGGGCAGTAGCTGCTGCTGCCATTCTCCTCCTCCTTTCCTCCCTCGCCGCGGCTTGTTCTCGCGCCTCCTCCGCTACCTTCTTGGCTGCCTCCTCTTCGGCTTTTTGTTTCGCCGCTGCCGCTGCCGCTGCTGCTGCCTTCCTCTCCTTCATCCGACGAACCTTCTCCTGTGCCTTCCTCAGGACCTCGGCTTCATCCTCCTCCAGGTCTTCTTCCTCACGGGAGTCGGGATCGGCAGATTCGGTGGGATTGACTGATAGTACTAGTCGTCGGTGTCCCGAAGGACCGGCGGTAGAAGAGGAAGTGGTGTGAGTTTGAGTACGACTGGTCGACATTGAGGACTTGGGTTTTTGGAAAAAGTTAGGGCCCTAGCGGCAAAATCTTGGCCCTTTTTATAGGGACAAAACGGCGCACGGGCCAGCGAAAATTTTTCTTCGAATTGTACTTGGTCTACGGTGCACCGAAAATTTTCTTGCATGACTAAAACAATCCCCGGTACCAACGGCTTACGAAAATTTTCCTGCTGACTGATGGGCCAAATTCCCGATGCTGACGGCCTTTAAAATTTTTCCTTGTTGACCAATCAACTCCCGGTATTAATGGCTTTCGAGGGCTCAAGCCTAAGAGGGGGATACTGTCAAGCCCATGCCTCGGGCCTCCATTCCGCCGCTCGGTATTCCGAAGATCCACCTTTATTGTAATCTCTTCCTTATTGTTCTTTCTCGCTACACATACCCTTTCACTCTAGTCCCTCTTTATTGTCTTTTACTTTACCCTGCAGGACTACACGTACAACTCCTAGTAGTTAGTCTGGCGCTCCGCCCCGCTGCGCCGCTCCGTAGATATAAATACTGCTTGTACGCTACTGTAGTTCCTCAGTTTAATTATCAACTTAGATCTCCCTTCTCAACTTAACTCTTCTCTAAGTCTTCAGGCTCAACGCCTCGAAGTACGTTCCCCTCGACCTTAGGACTTGAACGTCCTCTGGTTCGCTCCTCGTCATTGGCGATACCGCCGCTCCGACCTGGCTGCTACTTAGCCTCTCTCTCTCTACTCTCGCTCTCCGGGGACTAACGGCATAACGGCGGTGTTGTTAATAACTTCACTACTGTCCCACTCGTCTTCCGCACTTAGACACCTTGTGGCTTTGGCACGGTTACACGGGTTGCATGATCTTAACAAGAAGGCATGGAATGAGGTTGTTGGGAGTGTTGACAAGTTCGACATCATCTTCGAGGTCCCATACAAATCTTCGCAGCAAAACCTCACTGGTATAACCTCTCACACTGTGTTCACTGTATTCATTGAAGAGTTAGCGAAAAAAATGAATACTCGACTTTCACTCCTGTCAAATATCTCATATCTTCCTTCCTATAAACCAAAATCCCGGACAACTGATGTGATGCTTGAAGGAGAAGAAGACTGGATCATGCTGATCAAGGATGCTTGGGACCATGTACAGAATATGCGTGGAAGAAAACCTAAGGCGTGGACAATCCGTATCTTTGACAAAAGCCCAACAGAAACAGGCAAAGCAAAGGAAAATGATGATTGTGCAAAGGTATCAATCAATTACAGTTTTCTCGTAACGGCGTATCACTGAACTTTGTTCAGAGCAGGAAGAAATCAAGTGCTACTGTACCAAGTGAACAGCTTCCCGCATCGCATTCTGATGCAGGAATTCTGGTAGCCATTCAAGGCAAAAATCACTGCAACACATGTCAGACAGCATGCTACGTCCTTGCTAATGGTGATCATTATTGTTTCAATGATGAAGATATGAATACGTGGGTCCAACTTGCAGTGAGTGCCAGCTATCTTTTCCTTTACCTTATACTCACAACAGTAGTCCCGACACCAGGCAACAGTCAATGATCCACCAAGCTGTATCCTTGCAAGGCTTGGTGAAAAGCTTGGTCACCAAAAGCATTGCAATGCTCCTACACTGCCACCACCACCATCTGTGCCACCTGTTCCTCCGCAAACTCCTTTGGCACCCGCTCCAGCTACTGATGCCATTGCACAGGCCATGACAATGGTGGGCACAGTCACACCGCTTCTCGCGATGCTAATGAATGGAAATTGTGGCTCCCGACAGCATTCCCCTCCACGTACTTCTTCCTCGAAGCGCCACCATGCAGATAGCTCTCCAGCTCCTGCATCATCTCCGTACAAGGCATCTCCATCCAGAAATGAAGAGCTACTCATCTGGCTTCCCAAGGTTGATGCAGATGTGGAATGTGGAAAACGGAATGCAAGCTATGTGCAATATGGTGGTATCTTGACTGAAAAAGGGATCTTTGATCTTGATGATCTTGTTCGACTCACTAGTGAACGCCTTGAAGCATTTACCGGAATGGCATATGGGTTTTGTGATCGTCTTCTCCGTTACGCTCGGGAGGATATGGGTATAAAGTTACCAAAGAAGGCTCGTATTGGACAATAGTTCATAGTACGGTATACCCACAATGATTGAAAAATCCCTTAGCATCATCACTACTAATGGAATATGTAGCACAAATGAGGTGTAAATATACATAGGTATTGTCTATAGCTGGGTGAATGGCCTGCCTGACAATCTCTCCCTTGCGTTGAACAAAAGCTTTGATAGCAGAAAATCCAAGTTCGATGGGATTATGATCAGGTGAATAGGGTGGTAGGAAAAAATAGCACATTCCACTACAGGGATCTGAATGATACTGCGAGGATAAGACGAAGACTGAGCATACCGAGATGTGATAAGGTCTAGAACTCTAGGATCTTTGTGAATACGAGCATTGTCCATCACAATTACTGACTTCGGAGCAGGAAATGGCTGCATACGGGTTAAGAGGGTTTCGATGAACCCATAGAACCTCGATGCTGTGAATGAACCTTCAACAATTTTTGCATAGACAATACCAGTACTAGATAGGGCCGGTAGTAGTGAATATCTGTAAGAACAATAAAATGATCAGTAAGGGTACACTTGAACATAATCAACACTCACCGACGACCGCAAACAAAAAAAGTACTTTTATATATCCGCCTCCAACTGACAGCCCAACCGCATCGACGATATGGTGTTCGTCGATCAAATGAGCTTTCATCGACAAAGAGGAGTTGGCATGGTCTATACAGACGGGCATAGTTTAGTCGGAATTGGGCTCGCTTGAGTGCATCACATTCGATGGCAGCTTTTGTTATCTGCGGCAAGTGGCTGAATTGTCAAGTTGAAGGTAGATATTACACGGCCCATTAGCACACCTTCTTGAGGGTATATCCACTGAGTTTCAAGACACGCCAAAGGGTCGGAGTACTCGCCAGTACACCACACCGTTCATTTAATACATTACGAATCTCATCCAGATACATATCTGGAGTATGTGTTAACAGTCCATGAACAAACTAATTATGAGATCAGTAGAATTATATCAACAACATGAAAGCACATACTCGGAGATCCTCAAAAGATAGTATACGCTTCCTTCCTCGAAGCTCTGCTGTGAGTTCATGACCAGGCCCATTTGTCTTTCGGTGCTCTGCCAGTATGCGCTGGATAGTCAGCTTCTTGCAATTTGACTTTTGGCTGATTTCGTTCAAGGTACTGCATGTTTTCCGTAGGTATACAATGGTTTTTCGGAGGTCATCAGATAGTCGATGGCCTCGGGTCATTGGTTAGAGAATGAGATCACGAACAATTTCAAGTAGTGTGATTTATTTATTTTTACAGAAATAACCATGGGGCGCACTAGAGTCCACTTATCGCTACATACTACACTAAATTTCTAAGGATTCCGTGGAGAATTGAGCTTGTAATCGTGTTTTCGCGCTGGGCACCGTTTCATACTCAATTTTTGCGTCGTGAGAAGAGGCGCCAACTATTTTGAAAACGGCAATAACATTAAATTTGAGACTCCTCTGACGAAAACACCAAAGGTGTTAGACTGTATCTCGAAGAATCCAGACAACGCTGATGACTCACTTGATGATCCATGATCTTCAAATATGTTCATCGAATGTCTTCTGCAAAAAAGGGGGCTACACCATACGTGCGAAGGCGGGCCATCGCGCTGCGCATGTGACAAAACCGAGTCCTCAAGTAATTTTTTGAATGACTCTGAAATGGTGATCTGTGGCATTCCCAAGTTTATGAATGGGAAAGAGTGGCAAGAAGTCCGGCGCCCTTGGGCACCGATGGTGAACTCAGAAGAAACCTGAGAAAGTAACGTAGTAACAAAAATCGTGATGGGAAAAAAAAATCTCTAACGATGTCACGGTGACTCACAAAAGTGACAGTCCCAATATGGGGAAAAAAGTCGTTGAATAAGGAAGGTGAAAAGCGAAAAAGGAAGGTGAGGTAAGACTTTCTCACGCTGAAACCGCCATAGGACGAATCCTTCATTTCATTTTGGACTCGTAATGCCATCTCGTACAACATTGCGCCAAGACTCAACCAGTCTGTCTCTAAGCCGTAGACTTCATCCTCATTGGTTAATACAGGGTCCTGGCTATCCTCGACTTCCAAAGTGACCAGAGCCTGCTCATGGGCTTTGAGAATTTTGGGAGAGATATAATCACAAGTTCCGCAAGGAACTAAACAGTATTGCTTTGGTACAAGCTGACTACCGTCTTGAGAAGGAGGTAACACGGGAGCGGCAGTGCCAAAATCGATCAAAAGAATGTGAGTAGTTTGTGTTATTACGAAGTTGTGTGGTTTAACATCTCTGAAAGTTTATTTAAGAATGAAGACACGGCTGAGTGCAATAAAGCACACCGATGGACAAAACCCTGGCTATGACACCAGTGTACTGCACTGACGATCTGTGGTGTCCACCACCTGAGATCAGTACTCTACAAAGCTCCCTCCAGAATTGAGACACAAATAGGGAGCCCCAGTCTGAAGTTATGTCGGAGGGCATCCCATGTTTTGAGAAGACGTGTGTTATGAATAGATTGGCAAAGTCCTCCGCATTATCCGTCATATGGCAAGGAATGTATATGGCCTGTTTGGTGAGTCGGCAGACTACTACAAGAATGGTGTCGTATTTCTCTGGACCTGCTGTGACTGGAAGCTGGGTGATGTGGTCTAGGGAGATTGAGGACCAAGATCGTTGACCAATTGGTAGTGGTCGGAGGTTCCCGTAAGGTTTGGAGCGACTGGCTTTGGCTCTTAGACACAGGTGGCAGCTCCGTACATAGTAGCTCACATCTTTGGACAGCCCCTTCCAGAAAAACAGCTGATTTACGAGCTTCTTGGTGCATTTCTCCCCCGGGTGTCCCCTCAACTTATGGCCATGGTATGACTGTAGAACCTCCCTTCGTAGAGGTCCAACGTCTGGAACATATATACGACCTCCCCTCTTTAGCAGTCCGTTCCCCCAAACAAGAGATTCCTCCTCGTTGCGGGCAATCCTCTTCAGTGCTTCAATCATAGCCGTGTCCTTTGAAGCTTCCCTTACTCGATTTACTAGGAGGTCTTCATTCATGAGGATGGTAGCGTTCAGACGTTCTGGAGGTATGAGTACCCTTTTCCTCCCCGCTAAGACCTGATCCCTCAAAGCTCCCTTCTTTGGGTACACATCTGATCTCCGGGTGAGCGCG